TTAAAATTTGGCCTTCGCTATGTTATGGGCCTTTTCGTTTTTCATCAGAACTTAAGAAAAGTTCGCCGTATCATCTACTAGGCAAGCTTAATTTATGTCGCCTTAACATGGTGCGCTTTCCTAAACCGATGAGATTAACGCGTTTAGTGATTGGCTTAGAAAAATCGCGGGAAAATTTGTTAACCAATCAGAGTCATTAGAGAGAAGGCATTGCCGTCTTCACCCAATCAAATGCACGACAAAATCGGTGCTGTTTGGATGAATTTTTACGCGCTTGCCACTTGAGGGTGTAAAGCTCCGTAACTGTAAGATCAGTGTTCTTTTGAAGTTTACTGTAATTTTTTCGCCGTGGTGAAAATGGTTCTAGGTATAGTTTAGTATTAAAAACCCAATAGTAACCAAGCTTGGAGTAACCTTTAAAAAGCTGTTTATAATCAATAACCGATAGGTATAAACTATTGACCTCGTGGAATAAGTTCACACGACTGTCTCTATAGTTTTACTTTGATGTTCTTCAAACGGAATTCTCTCCAAGCGTTAGGCAAGCTAGTGACGTCACAGCACTCTGGAGGAATGATCACGCAACTCTCCTTGTGACGTCACAGGATCATGTCGCACGCAACAACGTTACGCAATTGTCTTTTCGTGACGTTCAACCTTGTCGTGCGACAGAGAACTCTTGCCTTGTCGGTTTCACGTCACAGTGACGTAATCTGTGAATCTTTGTCTTGCTTAATCCAGGGAATTCCACCATTAACTCTTCGTAGCCACATTCTTGGCAAAACCTGAATGCCTCCTGTAGTAGTCTTTTGGCAATCAGTTTTCGTCTTCCCCTGAAGCAAGTATCCACAGACATTCTCGTCACAATCGCCATAGTTTCAGATTTTTGATCAACGGCGATGAAGCCGACGATGGAGCTGTCGAATTCCGCCACGAGGAAAGTGCACTTCGCTTTAGAAAGATAATACTGCAATCAGGAAAACAAACGAAAACATGTTGAAAATGGCTTTACTGACTGGGAAACCGCAAAACATTCTTGAAAAGCCAGAACTAATAAACAATCATTTCCGAGATTCCACAGATAATCTCCATGTCCAAAATTCAAACGCTTTCCACTCTGATCTGGATAAAACCCTGGCATGTGGCCACTCAAATGACCGCAACTTAGCAAGATTTCTATGTGCTACTGGCAGCTTGGAGTCTATTTTTCCTGACCAGGACTACGGGCGAGGTGTTTTTGAGATGAGAAGGGACTGGGACGAGACAAGGGTGCGGTAGCGCTGTACACGAGAAAGAAAGCGCCTTTAAAAACTCCTCGTGAATTCCGCCCTTTTTTATTCCGCCCTTTTTATACGTTTGCGTACACGAGATCGAGATGACATATACTAGAGAGGGCACGAGAGAAAGATCGGCGGCGAAACATTCTAACGTGCTGTTGTTTGTTTTGGAACGATCACTGAGTGGAAATAAAAGAAGCTTTGTCAAATTTGAACTTTGAACAAGGTAAAGGGTAGGGGTTTAGCATATCATAAGCTCGATCAAAGTGCACCAAACTTGGACAGGAAAATTTGCCCGTTTTCTTTATAGCTGAAAAAAGAAAACTAAATTAGAAAGTCTTCGAACTTTAATTTGATACAAAACCTGGCACACTAAACCACAAAGTGGTGTGAAGTACACCTCTATAGATGAAGATGAAAACTCACATGTAACCTCACGTTGTGTTTTACCCGCGACTGATCTATTTTTAGTCTGACACATTCCTTAACATGCATTATTAAGTGTTGCTGTTCTGTCCAACCAATGACAGCGTGCGTGCGAGTTTTGAGGAGAATCACGTTTTCCACGTGAATTGCAAAGTGACTCGTGATATGTCCTTTGTAGAGAGAATTAATGTAATCTAAGGAATTTTCATCACCACGACGGATGTATAAACTGAATGTTCTCGATGTCGTTATGAGTGATCGATTGTGATTCAAACAGGATTAGCGTGCGCAGAAAACGGAAATTGTGCGGCGAAAGTTCACGAAAACACGCGAATGCTAAAGGAAACCAGTTCCCCTGTTATTTTTCTAGAATTTTCCGAACTGCATTGTTTTTGGTTGCTCTCCAATTTTTGGAGATCTGAGGTATAGAGATTGAAAATGGCCCTTCAAACTCCTCGAGACAGTTTGGTATTTGAAATAACATCACGCAAGCAAACCATTTTAGGAATGCTAGGCCTACACACTATTGAAAGAAACGATGTTTTGGACATTGTTTGCCAAGGAAACAATTTCCTAGAACAAGCGAGTTGTCTTATATAACATTTTCATGTCTCGGCTACTGTAAAAACGTGACTTTTTCACCGGGCTGTTGTCACAGTTGGGTATGTTTCACATTGTAGAGAAGATCACGTTCAAGTTACGTAATCACTTCTAATCACGTTATTGAGATCAGACACACTAAAACAAGACAGGGTGGGAGGCGTGTGGGAGGGAGGAAGAAATATTGTTTTCTCTTATGCGCTCCTTTTGAATTGCGGGAAGAATAGATAAAGGGGTTAAGGAAGCTCTATAGCTTGTACAACCGACTGTTACATGAATCACTAAGGTAGAATTAAGCCACGAAACGCAAAACTACAATAGACTGCCCTGGTTTCCTTTGTTGATTCTTAGCATTCGATATAAACACAGTTTGAGAACGCCGGCTTCTGTCACTACTCGAAATTTAAAATTATGAAATAAAATGTTTTGACTTTGAGATATTTTATCCTTCAAACGGGTTCTCCAGAAAAATAAGGTTTGTTTTCCGGTTTGAGTGTTTCTTGAACAAACAAAAATCGAAAAAGCTCAACAATTTAACGGGAAAGGTACAATTTTATAGCTTCCCGGCCGGCGTTTTCTAAACGCAAAAGTCACCCTGAAAATTATCTGACCTGTCTCGAATCTCGTGTTTCTCTGATTTCATTCATTTCTACCTCATATTTCAGCCATGCCAGTCTAGTCATGTTCTCTGCAGGAAAGCAGTGATTCCAGATTTTAAGGTGATGCGCAAAAGATTAGCGAGAGAACAGGGGAAAATCAATTGTGTCATTGACAACTTGAAAGGGCTTCGACTAATTTGCATTGTGCTGGTTTCCCTTAGGCGCGGCCGGCTTACAGTGTTTTGGAAACCCTTTGAATGCCTCAAAAAGGCTTCTAATTGCCTTGTGTTGGCTTCCAAGTTGCACTTTGTGGGCTTTCAGTTGTTTTGGTTTGGTTTACTATGTAGTAGCAGCGCGGCCCACCAATAGTATCATGGAAAGTCCTTGATGGGCCTTTGAAAAAGTGGCGCTAGCCAAAATGGTTTATTATTACAAAGAGAGACACTTACTTGTGAGATGTTGGCCAAGTCGCCTCTCAGTGAACTTGTCAAGTATTGATAAAACCACCGGTAAATATATAGAAAGACAGCACAGACGACCAGGATCACTCCAAAGAGGGCAAAAATACAAGACCTGGCCAGCGTCACCCCAACTACCATAAAAAACAGATGGAAAAAAATCACTGGTGGACTTCGGACGGTCTGTGCAAACATCGGCCAAATCAGGCACCTTGTCTCCTCCAAGAAAAGGTTGTGGATTCGCCGCGTATCGCCGCGTTGAAATCGGCGGACGCGCAAATCGTTGTCTAAGGTCGGGATTCTGCGATCGGGCGACGTTTGTTTAGCAATACTTTGACATTCGCACTCGGAGTCCGCCATTATGTCTTAGACCAGTAGCTTTCAAGAAATTATCGAAATCTAACTGCTCTCAACGTTCTTTGCGTGTTGCTTTTTAGACAAGGGCGAGACTGATCCACTTTGCACGCGGACACAGTTATACTCGGTTATCACATCACGTAGCGGCCGGGTGATTGGCATATGAGCTGTTACGTGCTAAATATAACCCAACCCAGCTCAAATAAGGAAGCGCTCGGGTCACAAGATTGACCCGTTCATTCCCACATGTATCTCCGTAACCTACGTCTTATACCTCACAGGAAGCTCGAGACGTTCATCTCTGGGAGAAAAGCCCGTAGATGACTTTAAAATTGGCGAAATTTCAATCTCAGCGAGGTTGACCTTCAAAAGGAACTACCAGTGTAGCGGAGAGGGGAGAGGTGTGGGGAGTTTGCGCACCTCACCAACAAGGGTGGGCTAATTTATTCTTTTTCTTTTTCTCTCCTCTCGGGCGAAGGAATTTACTGTCCTTGCCTGAATCAGGCACATCGCTTTTGTCTGTCATTACTGACTCACCAATACGCAATCCTAATTTACCACTGGTTCCTTATTTGGTGTTTATGCGCACTAAGGAACATATCTGCCGTTTGGTGAGGGCGAACCCCTTGGAGAAGAGAAGGATCGGCTTTTCGCAGTTTTCCTCTCAGAGATTTTTGAAAACGAAATAGAACAAGAATTTTTCTCCTCCTGGAAAAACTGGAAAATTGTCAAGCAGGATTTACAGCACGTAGCAAACCAAACTTCAAGAGTAAATCTCACGGCATAACATGTTTTGCTTTGCTCTGGGGTCACGTAGCAAATGAAACCAACGTAAACACTCAAAAGTGTGACCTCTTTGTCGTCTGGAACAGAAATCGTCAGGGGGGAGGCGATACTCGCCTATTTAACAATATGGGTAGGTATCTGCGGTCTCAAAGTATGGGTATTGAACGGTTTTAGCTTGGAATTGGAAACGTGTCATAAATTGTGCTTTTTGCATGATGAAGAGTTTCTTTTCATCTTAACAAAACCTGAAAAATAAAGGGTGGTACCCTCCCTCCTCAACCAATGATTCAGAGGGGTATCCCCCTGGCACAGGGCCAAATAGTCACGGAGGCTTTGTTCTCGTCTCGGGGTTTTCCCCGAGAGTTCACGGAGAAGGATCTTTTATCACATACCAAAATCTTCGGCCTATGCCTCGTGATCTTAGCGGCACGTTGCACATTCGTTATGTTTTCGCTTCGTGTTCTGGTCCATTGAAAGCGCTATTAGTTTGAGCTGAGGAATCCGGGGGAAGGGTCCACAGAAAGAAGTGTCGATAGGGGATCTTCCTGCGTTTCAGGAGTTAAAATTTCTTCTGATGTTTTTAAAAATTTAAAATTATCCGATTGAAAACTTCCTTTCAGAAAACCAAGAGGTATTATGAGAGTCCGTCTGTATTAATCATCAAAAATTTGTCTTTAATACCCCTGGGAATGACAATGTGTTACCTTGTAAGGCTTGCTTAGAAATGTTGCATAGTCCCCTCCCCACCACCCCGGATTAGGAAGTTCTGAGTACCTACTTTAAGTCAAAGTTTACAGTTATAATTACTGTATATCCGCTTTCTGCCCTGACATTGGTATACGATAACAAACAACGTACATGATACTTAAATTTTCATTAGCGTCGGCCAACACGTTCGTTTTTTTTTCGTAACTAAATCTGACTTTCCTGGCTTCAATTTTCAATCGTCATTGCAGCCACGTCACTTACGCAATCTGTAAAAGCTCCCCAGCGCGCCTGTCTGAGTTTTTCAGCGCAAATTTCTCGCACCGTGCACGCAAAAATTCTAGAGTTTACTTGTCAGTCATCTTCTTCAATTCAGCAGTAACCTTTCTTTGTTTATTTTTGGTTCCTTATTATTCCTTTGGTGTTTTTCCAACTTAGCAAACGATTATTTTG